GAATAAAACAGAAAATTGTGGATTTCTCACACATTTTTAACAAAACGGGAATCTGTTAAGTTGCTAGTTGGAAAAAAAGGAATGGAAAAAAAATAAGGTAAAACACTCGCTCCAGCCTGAACAGAGAAACGTAAAACTAACATTTAAACACAGGATAACATTTTTATCTAAAGATTTACTCAAAAACAAACTACAAGCATGACCTGAGGGGTAAACATGATCCGAATGAGTACTGGAACTGTTTGTTTACATTCCCTGTGGTTCTGTCTGGGCTGATCTGACGTCAGTTACTGTTCATTTGATTGGTTCACTGGTCGGGTTACGTCACACAGATGAGATTAACTTCATGTTAATTATTTGTAGTGACTAACTTGTTTTTGTTTTGTTCTTTCACACGGAGTTAAACTCTACAAGTAGAAGCTAACATTAGCTAAAGTTAGCTTACCATTGTCCATCGTCCTGCTCTCGTCTTTAGCGTCCTTCGGTAATTTTTCTTCACGTTTGGTGTAGTTTGTTATTATTGTGGTGTCGCAAATAAAACTAAACAAGATTTGCGTGTAATTATGATATCGCCCGGCCAGGGTAGAGTAGTACWGGCTGRGAGAGCAGYGGCGCCCTCTACTGGATGAAGGCAAAACTACACTGGAAAAAGGTTTAAATGGATGTTTTCAATCGAATGGAAGAAATTTTAATCTAATAAACTATTATTCGACAATTAATCATAAGTCGATTCATTGTTTGCATCCCTAGTTTTAAACCCCCCCCCACACACACAGAAACACACACATGCAATTACTTAAACAAAATGGCATATGGAAACTTTTTTTTATCAGTAATTAGTTGAAAGGATTTAAATAGAGTATTGTTCTATTCTATTCTATTCTATTCTATTCTATTCTATTCTATTCTATTCTATTCTATTCTATTCGACAATTAATCATAAGTCGATTCATTGTTTGCCCCCCCCCCCCCACACACACACACACAGAGAGACACACACACACATGCAATTACTTAAACAAAATGGCATATGGAAACTTTTTTTTTATCAGTAATTAGTTGAAAGGATTTAAATAGAGTATTGTTCTGTTCTATTCTATTCTATTGTATTATTGCTCTGTGTGGACAGTTTCACATGAGAACGGTACCACAGTCATTTCTTGAATTTTCACTAAGTGTGTTTAAAAGGCTGTGATCTGTTTTATAGTTGAGCTAATGTTTTRTTAGCTGCTTTCTGTTATAGTGACACTGCTCTTTAAGTTTACAAAAAATAACTCATAATAAACCTATATTAAAAACACAAAAGTGATTTTGCATTTATTTGAAATTACTGCTATACAAAGCATGAAAATATGATTTTTGATTCTAAAAACAGAAATAGAAATAGAGACGTATTTCTTAAAAGAACCTGCTACCTTAAGGCTGTTGCATGACGAGTCTGTTGTTTTTTTTTAGACAACTTAGATTTAAATAAMTAGTAAACTTATCAATTTTTGTATTCACTAAGGTTGCAATTTGATGCTTTATTTATCTTCAAGTGAGCTATTTACTTTGGCAGATTTTTACAGAAAGGTATGTGAAGGAGGTTAAAGTGGTTCTATAAAAGAATGTAATTTTTTTGCTTATATCAAAGACACTAAAAAAACAAGAAAATTGCCACCCTAAAGCATAAAATTTACATCCACTTTGACATGCAAACATCTAATAATGAGATGCATCATTTGTTCACAGTAAGAGCTAATAATTATACCAAACTTTGCAAGCTGATGTCATGTGATCTCAGACAGCAGCAGTTTGATTGATTCTCAACCATTTAACAAATGCATTTGTTATTATTTCCTCTTAAAATCTTTTAGACATTAGTCKTTTCAGTATGTCTGAGTGTTTTCTTTCTAACTGGAGGACAGAACACAGCTCATCCTGTTTCCCTATCTCTTGCCACCCTGTGTCAYCCACATTTCTAACAGTTACAGCGTTGGTGTTGAAAATGGATCAAGAGTTAAATTTAGAGCATCTGGTCTTTGCAACAGTTTTATAGCTGTGCTTCCCACACAACCTGCCATGTATTTACATGTTAACCTAATTACATGGCTGCTCGCTCTGCGGTTCACCCAGACGGCTAAACTTTCCTGTGTCTTGACGTCAGCTGTGCTCTTTGAACTCTGCTGAAGAGGAGATGGACATGCACGTGTTAAGTAAGCCACACAAAAAAGTTTGATTGGGAGCAGAAAATAGACCTTCCCAAAACGACGTGGACTGTTTGAAAAGTTTGTACTGTAGTGTGGTAGACTTTACAAATAACCATGAGATGTTCCACTGCCCTGATGTGGAGGACTTTCAGCCCCTATGTACAGTTGAAACCAGATGTTTACCGTATTTATTCAAGTATAATACGTAAAATTAAATCCAGAAAATCATCCATAAAGTTTGGAGGTAGTACTATTCTCGGATAAATATTTTTACTTATGTATTTTAACTGAAATATCGGCTTCATTCACAAAATGCCTGAGTCCAGAAATGAGACCACGTCGTAAAAATCAGTTGAAACGAGCTCACCTCTGATACTCCTCTGTGCTTCAGAGTGAGATAATAATAGATCCAGGCAGGAGACATGATGTGAAATAAAAGTATTCCTGCACCTTAGTAATGATAACAAACTAATGACATT